GGGTTTGGAGTGGGCTGCCAGTGAACAAGGGCTGCTGGTCTGGCATGGCCCATTCCTTCCCAGAAAATAACCAGTCCAGACATTGGTGCATTATTCCTGCAGTGGAAATTCTCCTTCACTGTCATCTATACAGACTCCTCCTGTACCCACCAGCTGTATTGGAGAATCCTGTCCCACATACTCACTAGCTGTAACTTTGCTGCCAAGGGTAGATGCCCCATCCCTGGAAACATTCAAGGCCAGGTTGGACAGAGCTCTGAACAACCTGAACTAGTTGAAGATGTCCCTGCTCACTGGAGGGGGTGTGGCCCTTCCAGCTCAAACCATTCTATGATTCTACAACTCTCTGGTTTACAAGTAATTAGAAGCTGCTTTATTCACTAGAGTGCTCTGCAGGAAATCATTTTCAGAACTGATACTTTTAATCTGTGGTATGTGTTGCCCAGGAAAGTGGCTTAGACCAGTTGTTCTTAGACAGGAGAATGCTTTCTTAGTTGAAGAAATTTGAAGATGAATTTACTTGTCACTGAACATGCTGGAAGTGTAACAGATAAGCAGTTAAAGTACTTCTTTTGCTTCACCAGGATAAAGACAGCAAGAGCTATCTTGCCACAATAGCCCCCAGAAGACTGAGCAGTACAAGTGATATCGAAGAAAAAGAAAACAGGTGAGATTGAACATCATGCTCAGCTTCTGTCCTGTCAGTAGGTCCTTGGAATACCTTTTTTCTGTAATCATGCTTCATGTATTTTCTCAGCAGTCCCAAGCCCAGGGGAATTCACAGTATTAAGAGCTGTCTCTCATCTATAAAAGTTCTGGTACGTTGCTTTCCATTTAGATGAGCAGGGCAGCAGGTTGGCTTCCCCACCTCTAGATTCATACATATATGCTCTCCATCCAGGAAGATTCATGCATACTTTTTTCTTTTAGATGCAAGTGCCTCATTTTGTAGCTGGCTCCTACACTTGCACTCCTGATACTTGCTCAGTGTTCACCTTCAGTCCCTTTGTTCATTCATCTGTCATTTTTTGATTCATTTGAGTTCATGAACTCCCTTGTTTATGGAACTGTTTCCACTGCAGGGGTTGTTTTATAGTGAACATGTGTAGTTGCCCCTGGACAGAACCACACTATAAACAGGATAAATACATAGTATCTCAAGATGTATGTAAGGACCTAATCTCTCGAATGAGTAAAATTTAAGCTTAGCCTCCTTTCCAAGCACCTCCCCAGTTGCAGTAGAAAGGCACACACAGAGGAGTCATTGTGAGCTGTGGTTGTTGTGAAGCAGTCACAGCAGATGAGCACCCTGAGAGAATCTCTGCACAGCTGGAGATTCTTTGCTGGTCCTTTTGCTGGAACCTCCCTGCTGCGTTCTTGCTTAATCTCAGCCAGTCACTGTGATCTGGACTTGAGCAGACAATTTGTGTCTGCTGATAAGCCTGAGCAGTTTGGCAGTGGCTCCTATTGAGTGACATGCCCAGCTGACTGCTGAGAAGTGTCCTTTGCTGGGTAGAGCAGGGAATGAGAACTGTCCTGCATGAACAGATGGTGCCCAGGCCTAATGGGAAGTACAGATTTTTCCCAATATTCATTCTCTTCAAAACAGCCGAGTTTCACTTCACAGAACTCACAGGTGTCTGAAAGGGCATCAGCATGGACACAGAATTTGAAAAAAATGGAAAATAAATGTGGGGTCAGGAGTGAATGGATTTGTGTTGCATTTCAAGCTTGGGGTCCTGTCCAGGACCAGAAAAGGACATCCTGCCAAAGTGTGTGTTAGGAAAAGGAGCCCTGATTTCAGATAACTGATCAACAGGACTACTAGAAATATACAGATAACTTGTCAAGTAGTTCTAGATCTTGCCAAATATTTTGTTTTTTGTTCTCTCCTGCTCAGTACAGCAAAGGATTTGCCATGCTGAGCTGCCTCACTGGCATTGCCTGGATACCTGGGGGAATAAAAACCTCCCCTGCAGCTGCAGTATCTGTCCCTGTATGGAACATTGTTTGATACAAGAGGGCAGAGGGAATATCAAACAACATTCCTTAAGATGTGAAATTGCTTTTATGGACAATCTAAATTTCAGTTGCAAGTTTTCTGACTACAAAGCATCCTGTCCCTCTTCATGCATCATCTGGTTGTTATTAAGTCCCACAGCTGGCACTGACAGGAGCCACTGATGGCCAGGCCAGCAGAGGCGTTCCAGCCAGTTGGGTCACTTAGGAACGACGGTGCACGTAGGTGCAAGGGAAGGATTTGTGCTGTGGAACTGCAGAGGAGCCAGAAGCAGAGTCCCAGGGTTGTACTAAACAAGCCTTGTGCTCTCCCCTGCATTAGGGAATCAGCTGTGAACCTGGTGCGCAGCGGCTCCTACACCCGGCAGCCCTGGAGGGAGGAGCCCAAGGGAAACGAAGCTCCCCACTCTGCTGCACCCACTACCTACGTATCTACCTACTTGAAAAGGTATCTCCAGTCCTGCCTTACACGGGCTCCCTGGCAGTCAGTTCTGCTCTTAACATGCCTCCCAAACCATAACCTCCTGCTTGCTGCTTATTGCCTCAGTGTAACTGGCCTTGGGATCTTCTGCTGCTGAGAGCAGGAAGTAAAAATTAAGATATGCTGACATTTATAATGCTAAATAGTGTTTTTACAGCCATCATTTTTGTTGCTTTCTAAATTGCTGAAATGAATTCAAGTGCTCTGGTTCACATAACTCAAAAGCTAAGTGTTTTCTCAGTTTAGCATAGAATTGTAGTTAGATAATAAAACAAAATCGATCATAAAAGGAAAATAAAGTAATTACAGTCTGAAAGCATTGTTCAAATAGCTATTGACAGGTAAGTTGTAACTTATCTCTAACTTTGGTTTGTATGATGCTGTATTTATGACATCATTATCAGAAAAGTGTCAGTTGTGCATGACTTAACAGCACTTGCTAAGGAGTAAGACTGATGTCTCCTTGTGGCAGTAAGGAAGCACTTTCTGCACAGTGTATGTGAAATTGTAGAGGCTGATGGTTGGTAAACTAGCCAGGCAGAATCAGAAAGCAATCCTGTGCAGAACTCCTGTAATTGGCAGTATCTTTTACCCCTTTGGAAGGCAGAGGCTCAGTTTCCTTCAAGTACCAGATAATGGCTGTCTCTGAATGAGGACAGTGAATGCCCTGCTCTGTTAAGGCAAATAATACATCGTTGAGTTTTCATCTCAGCCGTGAGAAGGAGGATCAGCCCTTTGTGCAAGTGAAGTGCCATCCCCTGCAGCTCATACTAGAGACCATCAAAGCAGCATCCAGACATAAACCTGTCAGGCTGCAAAGCCATTTGAGGTGTGCTTAAGGAAAAGGGCAGAAATATTTCAAGGTTTTAGATTGTATTTCATCAAATTCTAGACCCTGAGCTAAATAATTGTCCTGAAGATGAAACAGTTGCTTGACATATTTGGGAAGAGGCAGATTTTTTGTATTCTGGTGCTTAGGCTGGTAAAGACAAGTTGTGCTGGAGGATGTGTCTGTCCAATTGCTGAGCACACACAGACCCATTGCCACAAAAGGTGAAACAGATAGCCCCTTCAAGCAGTGAACTTCACCTGATCTGCTGAGCCATTCCAGTGACTTCACATCTATCCTGGGACATGATGACAGGCCAACCTCCCTCACTTGTCTCTCTCTAAAGGCAGTTCCACAAACCACAGCTGATTGCATTGGAAAACTTGTGCCCCTTGCAGCTGCCATGTCTGACTGTTCCCTGTGCTGAGACACCCAGTCCCTCACATGGCTGGCTTCTGAAATTTTACAAACATTGCCTGTTTATCTCAGCTAATCCAGAGATAGATTTGGTATTATTCACATAGTTGTACTGTATTTCCTTGCTTAAACTGCACAGAGTAGGGGAGGTTTGGGCTGGCAGTGGTATTTCACTAATATGAATTTCTTCTCACAAAGGCTGAATTCTGCCCTTTCATAGTAGGGTGTTGGTTTACAAGCAATTACAGAGAACAGCTTTGCCAGGCAGAGGAATAAAGTGTACTTTTTCTAAAGAGATAAATGGTTTTACGCTGTATGTACAAACAGTAAAATTAGGATCAATTTGACCTCTATCCCATATGTTTTTTCTATAGGAGAGCACAGAGAAATTAAATATAGTTGTATTGAACCTCTGATTTCTCCAGCCTTGTGCAACAGCTTCTAAGATGAGGAAGAGAACCTGGCTGCCTGTTAAGAATAAGCTCTTTGTCATTTCCAAGTATTAGCAAATCTCTGAACACAATTCCAAAAGCTTGTTCTGAGAGAGTAAGAATTAAAGTGAACATGACAACCTTGGATGTTACTGAGAGGATGAATTCTGTACATCTGCATGGCCCTTAACCTTGGCATCTGACTAATCTCCATAAAGATTCCTGGTTATGTTCTAAGTGCTTTATATGACTCCAAACAAAGAGTAAACAATGGCAACATATCATCTTAAGATGCTGAAAATACCTTATTTTCTAAAAGGGAACAAAATAACCTGCAGCAGTGTTGCAGTTGTTCCACTTCAGTTGAAGCAAACGTTAAAGCTCTCTCTGTAAGGGCAATTGATCATTCTGCTTTCTCTATAGGTGTCCCACTAACCCAAAAATTCATTGAACCCTGTTCTGACAGCCTGTTCTCCATATCAGTGCAGACTGGCCTTCAAACAGCCCGTTCACTTCTCCTGTATATTGAAGGATTGGGAGGAAACCTGGCACAGGAGCTTGAATTAATTCAGCATCCTGCCTCTCACATCAGCCATAAGTGATGCCTCACACGAGGGCATCACACACCAGAATGAAATCCCTTTTTCACATAGTTTCCCCTTTGTTTTACATAGCTCCATGTATCCCTTCTTACTGGTTTTGTTCACATAAAAACCATCACGATGAGTCAGGCCAGGCAGCCCAGCTGTTTCTGGCAGCAACTGATTTTGAAGGACAAGTTACAAAAGCTTGGAGCAGTCTTCCACCTCCCACACTCTCCTTACTTCCAGCAATGATGAATTTAGGAGCCAGGGGTTATACTTAAGTCTGTTGTTCTTAACAGCCACCACTGTGGCCAACTTCCAAAAGCAAATCCTGTTTTGATCTCTGCAGCAGTGTGTAAGAAAAAAGAGTTAGGTGTTTTGTGCAACCTTTTTTTTTCTGTCAGCATACGTGGAAACTTTTAAGGTTTTGAAAGTTTGTAATTCTACTTGCCTTAGCTGTTTCCAGAAGTATTTCTTTTCATTGATTTGAAATGTTACTTTGATTTCATTGCTCAACCTGGTGGTTGTGTTATGGGGATTGTATTAGAGAAAGCACAGAGTGTGTCAGTGGTTTTTTTTTTAGTTCTAATGTTGAGTTCTTCAGCATAACTGCACAATCCTCCCCTTCACAGCTTCCCATCAACACACCTGTTAATTAACAAGATTCCCAACTCACCTTTTGCTTGCAATTTTCTGGTCCTGTTCAGATCAAACATGAACAGTTGAAGAGTCCTCCTCAGACTGCAGGTCCACCAGGCAGGGTGACAGGGTGAGGAGGTGAGCTCCTGTGTTGCTGCCCGTGCCTGGGCTCCTGTGTGAGCAGGAGGGGCTGTGTGATGCCACATTTCTCCAACCTAGGGCTG